ATACTATTGACAACTGTGATAGATGCGTCTACTGCTTAGTTGAGTGCAGAAGAGTTAAGCTGATTGCATTTTTACAGTCTGTATACTTTTTTTTTAATCCTGCTGATGGAAAACCAGGTTAGTTGCATAGTAAATCTCTCTAATCAACACAAGAGAAGAACAAAAAGAACAAGGACCCTCATTTGTTATAGTGACTTTCAGAAGTGTGGTCATTTGAAGGATGTATTCTGGGAGATTGGTCCCTCTTCTTCAGAAAGGCTTGTTAATATGGGCATAACTAACAAGGCATCTCAAGAGAGGAGAAAGGCTCACTCATTAAAATTAGCTGAAAAAACAACCCACATAACAGATATCTGTTGTAATGATACTTCTGTCATCTCTCACTGTAACGTCTAAGCAGTATGTTCCATAAAGGCCCAAAGTGAGTAGCTAACAGCAGGGAACCAGTTTCTGAGATTGGATGCTCACTCTGCGCCTGTTTGAGATCCAATGGATGTATTTCCCTTTACATGCTTTTTCTTCCTTCTCCTCCCTCCAAATTAAAGCTCATCTCCATTTGGAGCCATCCCCAGTCAGACCTTTTCCTTGCTGTGAGTAACATAGATATACATGCTGTAGTGGATATATAAAAATACTGCTGGATGACAAGCCATAAATAATGTGTGCACTGACTCCTGGTGAGATACCACTGCAGTGTTTAATGCATTTATTAACCATGTAGTGCTGTGATTTGTGGAGCCTCTGTGCATACTTTCAAGATAGTATTTCTGGGAATAAATCTGGGGCTATAGTTTCTTCAAAGGATGGAGGTGGAGGTGTTTAAGGGATGGGGAGCAGAGAGTTACTGAGTTTGGGAGGATCTTATGGTAGTTGTGAGGTGCCGGACAAGAGAAGGCTAGATTAAGAAGTGTCTGAGGAAGGACAAATGATTGAACTCATCTGAGGCATTCAAATTAGAAGGAAACATGGAGGACCAGAGAGTAATCTGTCTGGAGGAGAAACCTCTCTGTAAGCAATATTCCTTTTGTCTTTGAGAAAAACTCAGTCAGTCCTGATTCTCCTTTCTTTCTAGGAAAGAAATAAGTAAATTTTGCTTCCGATCATGAGAGTTTTTTTCTTTTCTGGACATGCAGTTGCAACACTTTAGTTCGAGTATTAAAAGCTACAGGTTGCAAAGACCAAAACAAGGCTTGTGTGACTGATGTACAGGGTACTGACAAGCTCATCAGGAGGTGAATGAATATGATTATTTCTAAATATCATCTGTTGCTTGTGCCACCACAGTGATAAGATTCTCTGTAAAGGCAGATGTTCATTTTTACAGAATATAAAAGCTTAAGTGAGTGTGAGGTTGGTGGCAGCATGGGGGCAGCTTTGTCAGAGTAGCCCACATTACTGAATTACAGTTCCCTGCGAAGCCGGGGTGAGTGTCAACGCATCTTAGATAACTTTGTTTTACAGTCAGAGGCATGTCACAGCTGAGTGTATAACTCATTAGCAAATGCTATTGTACCTCAGTGGAAAAGATCTCATACCTTTTCCATATATTTAACCTTTAAGTTATTTTAGGCTGCTTTTCTTTCACTTTTTTTTTAATTATTGTTTTTACCACCCCAACCCTGCTTGTGTTTTGTTTAATGACACAATTCCCATAGATCTTTTTGCCACCAGATAAGAGCTTAATATTAAAATTCAAATAAAATATAAATTTGAATACAGATTTATTAGCCATTTGTGTGTGCTATTTTACTCCTGTGGAATTAAGTAATTCTAGTACATCTACCTGCTTGCCTGTGTGATAGCTGTGTAGGAGACCCAAGATGGGGGTAGGCAGTGAATCTTTGGCATCTTGCATAATGAACAGCTCTCATTTCCCAAATTTGCTGGTGGTGTAGATATTCCCTGTCAGAATTGTCTGCAGTGGTACGTGATGGGCACACGTTTCTATTGTTAAATTTTTTAGGCTAATGGAAGGAGTTGTAAGGTAAAGATCTGATGGCTGAGGATATCCTTCAGAATTCAAATACATGTATCCCAGGTTGTATTTCCACCAGCGCTATCAGCATAACCTCCAAGCCCTGATTTTTCACGTCTGATAAGGTGCTCACTCACTGTAGCACAGATCCAGCATTTCTGCTACATGTAGAGTCCTTTCTGCCTGAGAGTAGGGCAGGAAGAATTTTCCCCTTAGGCTGTAATTACATGACGTACACTTTCTATAGCACTCTCTAAAACACATAGGTGTTTTTTTTTCTCCATTACTTGTGATTTAGTGATGCACTGTTGTATTATAGTAGTGCAGCCTATGCCAGCATTTCCATTATAACCCGTTTTTACAGGTTTATAACTCAACAGTAAAAACGTACTCTTCCAATTTGAAACTTGGCATATAGTGTCTCATCTCATCCTCAGAATTATAGTTTTTCCTTTCTCTCTGCCTTTCTGCCCCCCAAAAATAGGTTGCATTTTTGCTGTATTTTTGAATGAAAGATATTGTCCTTTCTGTTTTGATAAGAGGAAATCCTGCCTGTTTATTAAAATTACATTTCAATTCTAGGAAAGGAGGATTTTATAATAGAGGATGCATGTGAATAAGTGGTGTTGATGTTAGAATGACTACATATGGATACAGAGAAGTATTACCTTCAAAATGAGAGCTAGAGAATATTGATCAAACTGATTGAAAAGCTTTTTTTATGTTGATTTTGTTTCTAGCTGTTTATTTTACCCCTAAAATAGTGTTCTCAAAGGTAAATATGTTTTAGCTGTTGCATTCTATTGTTTATCATGCTGAGTGAAGTAAACGAAGAATGCATGTAGACAAAATAATGATATTTTTCTCTTTTCTCATTTGAAAATCACAGTACAGAAGGAACATAAATTCTAACTTTGGTGTTGAGACCAACTACCAAGAGTAGAATTGTAGTTAGCACAGTGTTATGAACCCAAAGCAGACTTAAACAGCAAAGCACAGTGTTTTCAGTAGACAGATGCTTGTGTGGACTATGAAATTTCACACTGAATGGCAAACCAAGAAATACGAGGTTTATATGATCCTTATAGTTTACACTGTCAAGATCTGCACCTCTGAACCCGAGGCCTTCTCTGATGCCTCACATTCCAATTCAATGTCGTATGGGTGTTTAGGATATCAGGAAATCAATATTGAAATCCTGATTCTCCTTCTTTACCCGTCTCCTTGGAGCCAACCATTTAGGAGTTGAACTCTACCCAGCTGCCATTAAAGAAGTTTCCTAACCCCTGTGAACACCACCACCACTGCAGACACAGCAGGAAGGCTTCACTGTGTTGATTCTTATAGCGAATTTACTTCCAGGCATTTCTTTTTCAATTTAGATAGTTAAATTTATGTTTACCATGAACACTTTAATGGTACTAATTAGAAGAAAGGGTAGGGAAGAAAGAGATTTCACGGAGGGTGTTTATTAGTGAATCGAGCTATTATTTTGTCATATATTTGAAAACTATCAACATGTATACAGTATGCATTCTTACTATAGCTAAGCTGTCTTTCTCTTAAATCACAGCTGGTTTAGCTTTCCAGTTGTCTCTAGTATATTTATTTATATATATAAAAGTATCATGAAAAGCAGGGAATGTGCTTTCTAATGAGAAGTTCAGTTCCTTCATTTGGATTCTAAAATCAGTAATTAGGTCAAAGAATATTTTATATCCATAGGCAGCACCAGTGGCTTTCAGATATAAAATAAAATAGCTGTATGTGAAACTGAATTTTTTGAGAGTACAAAATCAGAATACTCAGCACTTCCTTGCATCAGCTTCACTCCAGCCTATCTCTGCCCAAACCAGTGGGATTCTGGAGTGTAAGATGAATGCAACACAGCGAGGTTCAGATCCACGTTTTTTGCAGGAAACAAATTGCAAATCCAATAAAACTTCAGTGAAGTATCAGACATGCTCAGTGCACTCAGTACTTTCGGTGTGTAAATCCAAGTCTTCTGTTTTAAGACCTGACTGTACATTTAACACTGGTAGCTCCTATAAAAGATCACTGTTTATGTTTCTGGAATATACAAAGAAAGAAATTATATTGAGAATCACTGAAGTACTTACATCAACCACACCACCATTCATTGAATATGTCTTTGGTGCCATGGAGATTGTAATTGCTGTTATAGAAATGCAGAAAACTCCCAGCCCAGTCATGTTCACTTGAGCAATGGAAATATTAAAGACCATACGATGTTAGACAGTGTGCACACTATTGCTTTCATTTTGTGTGATGCTGCCGCCAGAAAGGTGTCTTACTTGAGTCAGTGCGGAGAGCACACAGTAATAGCAACAAATGGATGCTCACTGTAAGACACAGCTGAAGATATAACAGATTCATGTTTTTCAGTCTTTGATATCCAAAACATTCCTGCATTCCATGTATAGTAACCAGTGAACAAAATATAAACAAACAGCTTAATTTGAATTACAGGTATGTCTTTTAAAAGACATTAAATGTTCTTTTTGTAACTTTATAGAAGAGACTTTGTGGCAGCCATGCAAAGTATTAAAATTATATTTATATTTTCATAACAGCATGCAGAGAAATTGCAAGAATCATTACAGATAAAATACTCCTATGTTGTATATTTTCCTAAAACTGAAGCACATGATAGGTTTTTTTGTTAAGATGCAGTGGTATTATGGTAATTATTAACTGTCATATTTAATTTCTTTTCATGAACATTTTTAAGGGGCCACGGAACATAACTTGTTCTCTGCAGCTGATGGCACTCATCATTGTAATTACTGAGTACCCTTTGCTGACTGAAGTTTTGCTATAAATTCAAATCGGAATGTGAATGTTATTGGAAAACATGCAGTTACATTTGGAGAGCTTATTTGCTAATCATGGTCAAGTCACTGTCAAAATTATAGGAGTATGACAACCCATGTGAATTTATCTAATTGTTTTGTGCGCTGCATGTATGAATTGTACAGGGAATAAATTTTGCATTTGTTCATAGGCACAGAAGAAGCGGAAATCCAATGAATCTGTAGATACAGAGCTCTGTCTTAATGAGGTAAGAGTGTGCGTCCTGTATATTTCAAGGGACAGATGTCTCCCCATAATACAAAATGTTCAAAGACTGTCAAGATTATAATGGCCTCACCTCACATTAAAGCCTTGTTAGTATTGTTATGTTTGGATACCATAATGTATTAAAGAATGATCTTATTATCTGGAGCTGGACTCAAAGTGGCCTTTGCTGAATTTATATTTTAATAGCTGTGTTAGTACATGTTTAGGCAGATCTGATGGTAATTACCATTGCACCCAGTGAGTATAATTAGTTAATAATCTGCAGGAACACAAGATGATATGGCTTTCAACAAATACACAGAAATATACCGGACATCATTCTGTGGCTAACAAAAATGACCAATTCAGGGCACAAGGTGAGGTTCACAGCAGAAGATGTGATGCTCCTGCATCAGGAGACAGATTGACAGCCCCAAGAGACATGAACCTCCCCGTGCTCTTTGAGCAGTCTGCTTGGCCTGACCTCCAAGGCCACCTTTCAGACGTAAACATTACCTCAGTTTCCATGTCTGTTAGACCGTATCCTTTGTACTGAGTCTCTCAGGAATCTTCATAATTAGTAATGAACATGAATTAATTTCTACAAGGTGGAAGCATATAGCCCACACATTGGAGCTAGCCCAGCTGTACTGGCATAAACCACCACACAGATGTGACCGTATCTTTCAGGCTCTCCTTCACTTGTCCAAATTTGTGCAGCTCTTCGAAAAAATTATAATTCTATAGCCCATTCCTATTTTATTAGATTCTGTGGGGAGTTTCCTGTAGATACTAGAGAGAAGCCTAACACGTGAGGGAATAGTGCAGTAATGTTAACAGATCTGTTGACATCTTGTGCTGGCTAAACGACCTTTCACAAGAAGGCTCTAGGAACTGTAGCTTACCATGAGAACTGCTGGTCCATCTTATCCCGTATTTTCTCTGTGACAGTTTCTAAAAAGCCAGTGCCCAGGGCAAAGTATAAGGCGGCATACTGTGATGATTCCCCCAATGCCTCTGCTGCCTTCAACACTTTACATCTCAAGGGCTTTCAGTCAGTCAGCCAGCCCTAGCAGGTGGTAGCAAGGTTAGGGAATGGCGTTGAGATTTGTCCGTGGACGCCTCCCTGGCTCTGTAGATGGTCATTTTTGTGGAAAATGGTGCTCTGTTCTCATTCTTTGTATCTACTTTTCTGGGTACTTTTAGCTTGTACCTTGGCCCATTGCCGCTCCACGATGGGGGAAGACTTGTCCCATCTGTAAGGTCTGAGCAACTTTGCATGGAGTAGGTTGGACTTAATGACCCTAGAGGTCCCTTCCAGTCTAAATTGTTCTGATTCTGTGATTATACCCATTTGTTTTGTTGTGTTTTGTTGTGGTGTTTTTTTTCAAATAAGGATGATAAGCAATGAGAAATATCCCTGTTGCACCTCCTCCGTAAATAGCTCACTATAATCTGTCAATCTGTACTTTCATATGCATAGTTTAACATAATTGTCCACAAGAAGACAAGGAATGTAAATAATGCAGTGATTAAGGGAAAAAGGGCATGAGAAAGATAATTTTTCATAAGCTGTAGCCCTCTGTCTTTTCTGATCCCATGGATTAGATTTTATCTATTGTTATTCAGAAGTAACTTTTTATCACAGAAGTTGTTCTGTTTACTGTGCAGAAGTTGCAGTTTCTCTGCGGGTCTTGCATTTGCTTTTTAAAATAAACCTGGGTGATAAACACAGATCGCTAAAAAAAACTGCCTTACTTAACAAGGATAGGTTTACACATGGAACCACTGCTGATGTAAGGAATTTTTAATACTTTCTTCTTTTTTTATTGTGCTGGTGTTTTTATCCTTTAAACTAACTTTAAAATACTGCCATTTTTACAACTGTTTTTATGCCTTTTATATCTTTCGATCTGTGACAGTGATAAATAGGTAACAGTGGAGGGTGGGACACGAACAAGCAGAAGATGAATTTCATGATGTAGAGCTAAATATTTTGCAATGAAAATGCGTAATGGTGACCAAGGAAAGTATTGTGTCTTGCAGAATGCTATTGGGAAAGACAACACAGCAGGAGTCTCCACCAGTCACATATCTTCGGAGAGTTCGCTGGCTCTTCCCAGAAGCTCCTACCTAAGCACACCGCTCACTCTGATGACACTTGCACTCTCACTCTGTTTGTTCCTAAGCTCATCAGTCGTCTTGTAGCTGCATTGCAAAAGGACGTGTAAAAAAAAAAATCTGTTTCCTGTCCTCTGTTGTTTATCTGGAATTCCAGGTCTGGGAGCTAAGCTGAGGCACTCCTGCTAGAACGGTTTCAGTCAGCTGGAATTATTCTTTTTTTTTTCTCTTTTAAAAAAGCTTCTTGTGATATTTAGAGGCTTTGTGAAATACTTGGTGCAGTGCTACATTCCAAACCCAAAAGGCTTTTGGGCATGCAGTGTTTTAAAGAGACAGAGTGTAAATTTGCCTGTAAAGCGACCTGGTTGGATTATTTTAATAATTATTATTTTGATTCTGGCTTTTACCTGAGAAGGAGGATGGCAGTTTTCTTAAGATCCTATTTATCCCATTGAATGGTTTTGTTTTTCAAATTGATTGAACTTCAGACTATCAAGGATGCCAGGCTTTTGTCTAACAGTGAATGTTCTCCCAGAGGGTGGACTTTCTGAAACTTCTTCATTTGATAAATTGCTACTGATGTTAAACTCTTTCAATGTATTAGCATTTTCCTCTTTAAATGTTTACGTACTGTAAGTGATTCTGCGTTCCCTGCTGAGAAGCCATTATAATTCACGTACAGGTGTAATGTACGTCTTTCAGTTAAATTCTCATAAAATAGAGTGTGGCATAGAACTTTTTAACAGTACATTTATCTTTTAATTATAATCATCTAGCCTTAACAAGGGTGAAGAGTCTTTAAATTAACAAGAAGCAGCCATTGTGAAAGCTTGATGAAGATACATTTTATTGAATTTGACATTAAGCAGTGGAAACAAATTTTGCTACAGGGTTTCAGCTGTACAGTCTATGGTCTTCTATGCTTCCATTGTGATAATATAGTCCAGTTATTATACTGTTTGTTTAATAAAAATTACATACAGTTTATTTGGTCTACTAAAACAGCATTATCTGTTTATACACAGCTGGTAATGTCAGCTCAGAAAAGTTTAAGGAACTTCAAGCCTTACTTCTCTTATCACAACATTGTAGAAGAACAAGAGGTAGTAGCATTGAATTTAAACGGTGTTTTATTTCTTAGATTGCTAAAATCAACACAAGAGGATGGTTGATCCAATTACAAGGCAGTGTCATGCACACTCACTTTGTGACAGGCTTTTCTCACCCTGGTAGCTCCTACTGCAGACCTTGGCATTGCTGACATGGTGAACAGTTGCAAGACCAGTTACTTAAATCGTTTTAATGGTTTGGATGGCAATATTGCCAGTATACATGATTCGATCGCTTAGGTTTTCATTCAGTGACATTGACAGCCTGTGCTGGCTCCTGTTGATTTTCTGCAGTATCTAGGAATTCTTTAAAGCTTTAAATGTCATCAAATAGGCAGCATTTCTCCTAAGGGCTGTCTCTCTACCTTACTGTGATGGCTTGTTGACTGTTACAAGCATTTATGTTGAAATGATCAACAGTAATTGGTTTTTGTTTCTATTGAAAGTAGAAGATAACTTTGCCAAGCACAGAGTTAATCAAGTTGAATTTACAGATTTACATTGAGACTTACACAATTATGTCTGAGCCTGCTCTGCAATGTCCGGATCAGTTATCTGCAATACAACTATCAACTACAAATTACAGTTTTATAAACTGCAATGAAGTTTGGGAGTCTGCATTTTACTAAGAAATTATTAAACCTATTGAGAAGTTCATCTTCTGAGCTTTTTCTTAGCTAATAATAAACACTTTCATAAATTCTGAAATTCACTTATTTACTCCTGATTGTGGTTAAATAATATTGGTTTCAAAGCACTTTGTATGTGTTAGGATTCTAGGATACTCTGTGCCACTGAACATAACAAATTAGACAATATTACTCTATAATTCTGTACTGATAAGAAACTGCAAATTACTTTCAAAGGCATCAGAGCTGCTTTTGGAGAAGAAATATATAGCACATCATTGCCAGCAAAGCCCATGTGGTTCCTGTTGCTCTTCTTGCGGAAGCTAATCAAATTATTGAGAACTAGTGACAACAGAAAAAAAGATGATGAGATTCATGATTTAAAAAATAAATCTAATTTTTTTTATGTCAAAAGGACTTGGTAATATAACCTATTGAAATGCTAATAAACATAGCATTATCATTCAGAAGTCTGACATTATCCAATTAAAAATATTTTCAAAACAAATTCATAAACATTACAGTTATTAAATTCATCTTTGATCCACAAAGCTTTCTTTAAAATATCATTTGTATTCAGCACATTAAACTTTTTAAGCAATATCGGGAATTTTAATAACCTTCCATTATAGTACATACTTTCTGAAGATTTTTTACATTTTGTTTGATTACAGTATCTCTATTACATTTAATACCAATTATTAAAGCTTTGACACTGTGTGATCCAGAATAAAAGCTATTGATCACTTACACTGTAAACAACAACCTAATTAGGTTCTGATTACAAAAGAAATTGCCAGTTATCTGATTCAATGACAGTTACCTTTGGAAATACACTTATGTATGCAGTAGAGGAAGAAGTGGTGTTTTATACAGCTTGCCATGTTACCACAACCAAAACAGAGCACTCAAGCTTTTTTTCCTGGGTAAATTAAAACCATACTGAATTCTTAATTAAAAAAAAAATTGCTTATTAAACAGGCAAGAAGGAAAACACCCGAAGAGTCTGACACTTAATGGAGTTTTTACAGGCGTCACCATGCAAATAGTGGTGGATTTTTAGAAGTTGGATGCGGTGTGGATGATGTCAATTTAGCATGGTGACCTTGTCAGTGCAGTCATTTGCTGCAGTACTGAAGTATGCAAATTGTTTAATTTTTTCCCCTTTCAGTCACTAAGATGCCATATGTTGAGTGCTTAATGAACAAGCTTAGACTGGGCTTTATATATTCCTTTAATGCATTAATTTTATCAATATAACAATAACATAGGAACTGTCCAAATACAGGATGTACATACAGATGATCTACTGTTTAAATTGTAAATGTAACCAATTCAGTTGTGTGTAAATTAGATCATGGGCTACCATAAACATATACAAATCATCTTTTTCATTTAAGATAATGGAACAGACATTGTCATTAGTATTATTAGGAGTGTGTATACTCTGCTATGTCAAATAACCTGATTATTGTGTTTATGTTTCTTCTCAAAAGTAGTGCACACAAAGATAAAATTCAGACTGAACTGAAACACGTGGCGAAGATTTTGCACTATTTAGTGTAGATATTAATTCCACAAGCTAGTCCAATGAAAGAGGCACTCAAGGTAAACCTTTCAGATGATAGTAAAAATAACAGCAACTGAGTCTTTCCCCTGCCCCAGTGCAGGCAGTGACATCTGCCAGTGGGCAGTGGTCCTACCGGAGTGCTTGTGCAGTGATTTGGTCCGTACGGAGGCGTGCATCCCTCCTTGCATCGACTCCACTGTCTGAGATCACAGCTGCTTCAGGAGATTGGGGAGGGAGGTACCAAACACTGAGCAGGAGCCATCCATCAGTCTTCACTGTGGCACTGCCACCTTTCCATTGAGTATCTTTATTCCCGCTGTGTCATTAGGGGAAATTAGGAGGAACAGGAATTCTTAATCATTTCAAAGCATTGCATAGACAGAGTCTGCCTGGAGACCTATTCCCAACCTTTTTTTAAAATTGAGTCCCTCTAAGACCCAACCTTTTGAATATGAGGCTGTTCACAAATTGAGCAATGTTGCATTTTGAATCAGCAGACTGAAAACATAAGAGTGTACACCTTTGCTAAGCTTTTGCAGTTAGGCTGGAGATGAAGAAAACAGAGAAGGAATCACCTTGAAATCTCAATCCATTTTTAATTCGTATTTGTTGGCTTAATCATGACACTATTCCCACAGAGGATAAATGGTGAGAAACCAGTGAAGGAGGAGAGCAAAACTCAGAACAGCTCCCTGAAGGGTCATAAATTTTGTGTATGTCGAATGACAGGAGTATCTCATACTTAGCTTGAAATAAAAGAGCTGGATTCTGCTAGGAACAGCAGCTCCTTCAGAGCAAGCAGGAAAATACGGAAGAATGAGCAGTTATTTGTACAGCAATTATACCTTTCTTTTGTAAAATGCTATTGTTTATCTTCCACATGAAGGGGGATCAACCTCACTGAAAAATACATGTTCACTGACAGGGCATCTGCATTAAAACTATTCTGGGCCAAAGAGGCCCCCAAGGTTGTTTTATACCGATAAGGTTAGTCGGCTTCTGCCTGATGTCCCTGACATCAAATAGAAATATATTTGCTTCTGATGAACTAGGCAGAGAAATTAATACAGTGACTTGTTAAATATTTCTCATCTTTAAATATTTGCTTTTTCTTACAAGCTCAGTTCTTTCTATGACATTTCAATTATTGGCTATTTCAGCTTCTCCTTTAACTTTGGAAGGTCATTTTCTCTGTACTCTACAGTAATCCACTTTATAGATTTGCCTCAGTGTTCTGGTTTGGTTTTTGTTTGTTTTGTGGTTTGTTTTTTTTTTTAATTACAGCCTTCACTTCTGAGAAAAAAAATACATCAGGAATATGTCTCTACTGAACAACCAACACCTTTACAGGGGGAGGAAATTGCAAGTTCCTATTTTATCTATTTAGCACTGGTTTGACTAGAACAAGCTAAAACATGATGTTGCTATTCCCTAGATGGAATTTAAAATTTGGTTTGGTACTGAGTAAGTATTTAAAAGTTTTAAACTCTCACAATCTTTTAGAAGTGTTTAAATACTTATAATGTATTTTGCAGTTGGAATTTCAGTCAAATAAAGTCTCACTAAGTAGTATTTTTCTTACTAAGAGTAAGAAGTTTCATTGGGGAATTTTGATGGGTCTATTTTTAAGGTAAAATCAGGGAGGGCGATGAATTCCCATTTTTAACACAATATTATCTTGACTTTCATAAACCCATGTTCCTTGGTTTCTTCATCTGAGTACGTTTCCTTCAGGGGATGGTTATGCTTAATAGATATGGATTAGACATGGTCACCTCAATAATCAGGAGCCAGGTCCTGCAACTCCTACTTAGATGCTCCATCTCTTATAATTCATAAAAGCCAGAGCAACAAATTGAAGATGTAGTCTAAAGATTATCTGAAGTTTAGAAGAGCACAGAGCCCATCAATTTCTCCGTAGCATTTCTTATCAATATAGATTGTGGCATTATAAACTTGTACCACCTAGACCACTCACTAAAGTTCTCTGAGCACATTTAACCAGAGCAGCTGCAGTTTCTGCTGGTTTACCTTTGCCAGGTGCCAAGAGCTGAACTTTGCCATGCATACACTTAGAGCTAATTGCTAATTAAAAGCTAATTACAGCCACCGAGCCTGATCCCACTTCAGAACGGTTCCCTTTAAACCCTTTGTCTCCTGCTTTTAGTGAGTCCAACACACTTTCATTCATTTGCACTGTTTAATGTGTCAAAAGGAGAATTTCCTTGAATCCAGGAGAAAGTAAGTCATAGATTTAAGGGCAATTTTCTTCAAATTCTTCCTGCCAAAATACCACGTAATTGACCTCTTTCCTTACGGACTTTTATCCTCCAAATAATTGAATACCTGCTGCCCAGCACCTTCAATTCTTATGAAACTGAGCAGGAACTTAGAGGATTCAGATTCCAGTAAATGAGACCACGGTTTTTTTCAGGCTTTCTTGAGCCACTCGTTCTACAAATCGATGTTATGGATAAACATATGTAATTAGATACGGTGTCATGGCATTACGCTACTCCCCTTGTTGGCCAGCTTATGTCAAGCACTGGTACCAATGCGGCTCCTTCAGCTGGACATTGCTTTGACAGCAGGAGGTGACATTCAAAGTCCTGCTGTTGTTAAGTGCAAAAATGTTACGTCTTTTATTGTTTTGTTCTTGTCTGAAATACAGTCACCACTCCACTCTTTT